GGAGGAAGGAGAGGAGGAGGAGGGGGAGTTCCTCACCTCTACTCAATAAAAAAAAAAAAACTCTCCTACGCCAACCATACAAATGGGTCCTATTATTAGACAGATGAGCACTAAGGCAGGAAAAGCTTAACTATCTTGCTCCAGATCAAGTTGGAGAGCTGGAATTTGAATGTAGATGGCCTGGCTCTAAAGCTTTTACCTTTAACCGTTGCATTCTAGGGCCATGAAGCTACATTTTTTTCCCTATAATTTATTATCTGTCTTCTCCCACTAATATACTATCTCCATGAGAACATGGAAATAATATATTGTTTATCTCTGGATCCTCTCTGGCTCTTGAAAATCTGGAATGAATGAAGAGTTCTGTATACCTTTCCAGCGTCGCTTCTTATAATCTTCTCACACAAAGCTCACTTCCCTGGAAATGACCCGCTTTCCAACCTGGAGACGTTACCGTTTCTAACACTCCCTCTGCTTTAGCCCACACTCTCTCAGGTCTGCCTTTTCCTCCTCACCCCTGTGCTCAACATGGGTATGATTGCTCCCATCTCTCCAGCCTTACCTCCAATCTTACACACACGTTTCAGACCCATAGATCCATAGAGTCATTTGGTGGAAAGAATTTTAGAGATTATAATTTTCAAATTATTTATTTTACATGTAAGTAAAATAAGACTTGGATGGCTGGCGCAATGGCTCACACCTGTAATCCCAGCACTTTGAGAGGTGGATTACCTGAGATCAGGAGTTTGAGACCGGCCTGGCAAACATGGTGAAACCCTGTCTCTACTAAAAATACAAAAATTAGCCAGGTGTGGTGGCGGACACCTGTAATTCCAGCTACTCAGGGGTTTGAGGCAAGAGAATCGCTTGAACCCAGGAGGCAGATGTTGCAGTGAGTCAAGATCACGTCACTGCACTCCAGCCTGGTGACAGAGAGAGACCCTATCAAGAAAGAAAGCATGAAAGGGAGGGAGGGAGGGAGGGAGGGAGGGAGGGAGGGAGGGAGGGAGGGAGGGAGGGAGGGAAGGAGGGAAGGAGGGAAGGAGGGACGGAGGGAGGGAGGGAGGGAGGGAAGAAGGAAGGGAGGGAGGGAGGGAGAAAAATGAGACTTGGAGAAACTAAGGAAGATACTGATGAAAATTCCAGTTTTTCTTCCTTCTTTTTGGAATTTTGATGTAACTCTGAAACGCTGCTGGGAGGAAGGAAGCTGCAGAAGCTCTTAGGGCCACAGGCCCCCACAGCTCACTTAGGGAAGCACTTTTTGCCATCCAAAAGGACCTTCATTTAGGTGACTACATTTCCCTAGGCTCATATTTTCGTTACTCCTGTCCCTCAGTACAGTGTGTCCCCATGCTCTTATCAAGAACAATTTCCACCTTTGCCCCTTGTTTTATCCCAGTCCCCACATCAGAACTCTGGTCCTTGCCTTTAAGGAGTTTACAACGTAGACAAGGAAAGAGATCCTGTATGTCTTATCTTAGATCTTCCATTACTTTGCAAACTGCTTCATAATCTGATAGAATCACTGGAAGAACAAGTGATAACTTTCTCTTCAACTTGTTCTACTTGTTTCCGAGAATGTAACAGAAAAAATGTGGTCTACCCCCAGATGCCCTAATTATATTTAATAATTAGGACACGAGAAAATAAATTACACAGATAATCTATATTTTTCCATAACGTAGATGGTTTAATGCAACAATCATTTTTAGAAGGCTTATGACGTTTTTCCTGATGCAACAGATTTGGATTAATGATGCTTCTAGGAAATAATTTCCTCGCAGATCACCACATTCAAACACATTCAGAAGAGAGATATCCAGGAAAGATCCCTTAGGTTGCTCAAGGCCATTTCAACCTACAAACCTAGTAGTTACAGACGAATAGAATATTCCATGTAGCAACAAATTACCACCCCTTGGATTACATAATGATTGCAAAAGGGGAAACCTTTCTTTCTGGAAAGACCTGGCAGTAGCCACCTTAACCAAGAAATCAGCCGCAGCATCACTGAAGTGTGAGGCCATGAAACTGTGTGCCTCCAAATAGGATGCCATAGAAACGTCATCTAGGACATATTCTTGCCAACAACGTACAATGGTACCTACTTGAGCTATGAGAAGTCATTTCTAGTTAATAGAAACCAAAGGGAATGGGAAACAAGAGAAATATCATTACATAAAGCAACCACACAAATCCTCACTGTGGGACGTTTCACAAGGCAGTTGGCTGGTTCTCTTCATAAAGTCAATGTCGTGAGGAAAAATGACAGAGGGAATATACTAGATTAATAGAAATGAGGTGCCTGAGCCTCCAAGATAAGCTGGTCTAACAAAAAAAAGATTAAAATAATTTAAAAGGAACAATTGAAAAACACTAAAAGTGAAATGGATGTTAGATTATTTTAGAAAACTATGAGTTTTCTTAGTTGTAGTATAAAATTGAGGCCGTGTGATATAATGCCCTTACTCTTGGGGTCTCCTGTTTCTAGGAGCGAAGTGTAACATGCTTCTTCAAAACACGTGGTGGCTCAAGCCTGTAATCTCAGCACTTTGGGAGGCCGAGGCAGGTGGATCACGAGGTCAAGAGATGGAGACCATCCTGGTCAACATGGTGAAACCCCGTCTCTACTAAAAATACAAAAAATTAGCTGGGCATGGTGGCACGTGTGCCTGTAATCCCAGCTACTCAGGAGGCTGAGGCTGGAGAATTGCCTGAACCCAGGAGGCGGAGGTTACAGTGAGCTGAGATCGCGCCATTGCACTCCAGTCTGGGTAACAAGCAAAACTCCGTCTCAAAAAAAAAAAAAAAACAAAAAAAAAAACCAAACAACAACAAAAAAAACCACTCACCATGTGCACATGAGAATCTAGCAGTATGGAGATGTGTTAATAATTAAATCCCCCTAGTGGGTATCTGATGTACCATCCTTTCAATCTTTCTGTTGTTTAAATGTTGAATGTGAAAATGTTGAAACGAAGCTAACGGTAGTGCTTCAGGAAATTACTCAGCAAAGCGGTGTCCCACTTCCGTTTGTCCTTCTGCACTCCTTATTAGAAACTACTTCGGGAAATCTGTAATATGACTGATGCACGTGCTCCACCAGGAAGGCCCCCACGTGGAGAGCCAAAGGCTTACACAGCCAACTACTTTTCCTTAAGTCTTCTGCAAATTCTAAGTAAGTGACTGGCAAGAAATGTTTTTGGGGTCCCAAATAGAGATGAGGGGCACCCAATGAAAGCCACTATGTGGCCCCTCGCCTGGACCTCGTTTCCAAAGTGACGCTTGCGTTGACAGCAATGTGATGTCAGCCACGTCACTTAAATACCTACACAGATCGAGTCTCAATGTGATTTCATTTCCAGAGATCAGGATCGTACAACATTTCAATTCTAACAAACGAGACCACGTATAAATTTATATAATACAGTACATGTAGAGACGATAAAGATACCACACATCTAAAATTTGAATCTGAAGTGCATAGTGCAGAAGTCACACAGCCCTTGTGACGCACTGATGCTTTTCAAACCACAGAGAAGCTCAAGTGTGGCACAAAGTCATTATAAATATTTAGCAGGAAAAGTCTGGCATGAGTGAAAGAGTTCAGAAACATGCTCATCATATCCGTGAAGTGTCATCGCAGATCCTCATGAGACAAGCACATCAAGTGACTTTACGCCCTGGAAAATGAAGATGGGTATAAAGAAATAGGATGCTGTGAATGTCATTCGGGGACCCTCCGTATTATGGTGAGTCCCACGATCCTAAAACAATGAGCTTTTCCTTTAATCCCATGGCACGGGTAAGTTCAAGATTAGTATCACCACCAACAGCCGAAACATTTGGTGTCAAACCCCTGTTACAAAAGCACCCTGTCACTGAATTTCTCAATGCAGCAGCCAGCAATGCATAGGAGAAGGAACACTGAAATCGAGGCCTTCGAGAGTGCTCCAAACACAAAATCCTGACTGCTCTGGAACTTTTGGAGTTTATGAATCACACTAAGCAACGTCTTCGTATGTGCCAATGCCCTCCACATTTTACCCCAGACTCGGCGTGATTTGGAGGTGGGCCCCCAACATTAAGTAGAATATAAACCATCAGGAGTTACTAAGATAAATGCATTGTGATAGCTTGGAGGTTTAATCCACCTATTTGATTCTGTCAACTTGTTGATCAGAGACCATTGCGATGACAAGCTGACTATTTTGAGAAGTTTATGATCCCCGTCAGCTGTCTCCTGAGAGAATGATGTTGACTAAATGAAGAAGCCAGGCCAAATATTTGGTCAGCATTCCCGACATATGAATGGTATCACATATTACTTAGCAAACTTTTTAGCAGTGTCTTCAGAGTTTTGACTGAGGTCAGGCCAAGGGGAAGCACATTTAATGGGCAACATTTTGTAACAAGAATAAAAAAGTGATGATGATTCAAACCCCAAGTTATTTCCTGATCATTGCGCAATTTTGGTAAACCTTTAGGGAGAAAATCGGATTTCATCTACAGATTCTCTTCCAGTGTTCCACTGATTCTATTTCCTTAGGAAATACGTGTTCTTTGCCATTTTCATTTTAGGGATTCTTGTTTTTGTCATTATCCACTCAACAAACATTTCTGGATAATCAGGAAAACATAAATTAAAAACGGTTGACATGTCAGAAACACAAACGGGTGCTGAATGCATGGAGAAGACAGATATCTGACCCATGCTGGCTCAGGGCAGAGCAGGGGCTTGCGGTGAGATGCACCACGAGCCCGGAAATGGAGGGATTCGGGCTGGAGTAAGACGTGACTGATGGGACGCAGGGATAGGAGAATGTTCCAGGAAGCAGCAGCAGCTAGAGAGGCAAGCGTGGTGGGGCAGAGGCGGCTGGGAGCTCCTATATCGGGAGACGGTCAAGACTTTGTAATCCATGAGCGAAGCTGGACCTCCTTCTGAGAACAAAGAGCTATCCTTAAAAAGTTTAAGAAAGGGACTAACATGAGGAGTGATCCTTTTGGGGTTGGTGGATGTGATGACTGGGTTTCCATGCACATGTCTGACATGTGCCTCCCGCAGACCCTGTTACCACATCCGTACAGTACCCGTAGGATGTGAAAGAAATAAAAAAAGGACAAACATGAAGAGGAGGAGAAAGAAAACATGAGTAACTGTGCGTGTTAGGAAGTGAATCCTGGTGTGCATGCAGAGGTGGAGGAGGCGGGCCTAGAGATCTGGGACAAGGTTATTGCCATAACTGAAACAAAAAAAAATGTGAGTGTGAGTGAAGGCAATGGGGAAAATAGAAGAAACGGGGTGGGTTGGAAAGGGCAACAAGCCTACAAATATGTTTTGTAAGTTTAGCATCTGAAAGAATCTGAGAATGGATGAGGCTTATAACTTGAGACGGGAGTTAGACACAGATGTGAATTCCAGAAAAATCAATGTATGACATTTCTTGCACATTCATGTCTCCAAATATTTTCTCTTTGTAGAGTTCCAATCGAAATGTCAGCAAAGGGACTACAAAGCAAAGCAAATAAATCAACAACAGCAAAAATACTTCCGTTTTCGCACCCACCCTACTTCTCTAAATGATGAACTCATTCTTTTCAAAACACATCAAGGGAATAAATTCAACACTTAATGTACACCTGAACGTAATTTTGTAAACAGAACACATTTTACAGCACATATCTTTCAATGAAAGTGCCAGATAAGACAATAAAACCTTCAGTTCACTTTTTATTTCATTGAACAGATAAAAATACTTAATTCAATTACATAAAATGCAAAATTATGCCCTGTCAGATTGCTCTCTGGCTCCAGAAATCGTCTTTCACCGTGACTATCTGTGCCAGGGTCATACAACCAAACCTCTCCCTGGGGTGTACTCCAACAGATGGGTACGTGGCCCACAACTTGGTGCTGTCACTGCCTCTCATCAATTTCTACTCTATTCCCCAATAATTACGTATCTGGGTAAAACAGGGTCAAGGGCAAAAAAAAGGATTTTTGCCTCTGCAGTTGACGGCCCTGGAATTTACAGCTTTTCCTCTTTCAGTTTCCTTGACTTCCTTCCCCAACCTCTCCCTTCCCCTTATCCAGAAAGAATGCAAACCTTGCATTTGATGAGCCTTCAGCATGACAGCAATCTCCCTGCCACAGTAACGGGACGCTTAGGGAATCTGCACAATCCTCAATGAGTTTAGCAGGGAATGGAAGACTGTTTCTTCTCCTATTTTAATTTCCTGGGCTTTTCAGTTCTTGATTTCCCTCTAGTTTCGAACTTTGGAGGTGATGTCAGCTGTTTTCTTCCTAGGTTGATTCCCTTTTTTTTTTTCCTAGCCCAAACCATCTCCCACAGTATCCATAGAGGGTCAGAACTGCAGAGTCATAAAGGGCAAAAGTGAGGCAAACCTGGGTTTCAACCTGACCTTCCACTTGCCAGCTCTACATTTTTACACTAGTCTGGCTGCACTTCCGTCATCTCAGCTACACAATGGGGCTTACAAAATCTCTTTTCTCTTGTTTTTTTTTTTTTCTTTTTGAGATGGAGTTTTGCTCTTGTTTCCCAGGCTGGAGTGCAATGGCACGTTCTGGGCTCACTGCAACTCTACCTCAAGCGATTCTCCTGTCTCAGCCTTCTCAAGTAGCTGGGATTACAGGTGCCCACCATCACGCCCAGGTAACTTTTGTATCTTTAGCAGAGACGAGGTTTCACATCGTGGGCCAGGCTGGTCTCGAACTCCCGACCTCAGGTGATCTGCCTGCCTCGACCTCCAAAAGTGCTGAGATTACAGGTGTGGGCCACTGTGCCCAGCCCTTCTGGGTTTTTTTAAAGTAAGTTCAAACGAGCCAATTCATGTAATGTGCTCAGCATAGAACCTGGAACTAAGGAAGTGCTAATCAAATACGGTATGACTTCCTAAAGAGGCTGGTTCTTTTGTTGATCTATGTTTGTTTTCATTTTCCATCTAGGCACCTCTGGCTAGTTTGTGTAGGAAGTGAAGTCCATTCTTAGAGCAGTCCTAGAGCCTCCCTTCAGGAATCCTGGGATGCAGCTTCTCTCTGTTCTCGCCTTTCCTATCGGACCACCTAGCTTACCTGGAGCTCTGCAATCTGCCTCAGACCACCCTGGTTTCAGCTTGCCTTGTTTTTGTTTACACAGCACCTTTTCAGGCATTTCTGGGCTTTGCTCTAATTCCCTTCCTAAGAGATCAGCCATTTCAGTGAACAGTTTCACCTCCCCTAATACACATTAGCCTTCCCAATATTCTTCTCTCCATCTACCTATCTGTTCACTCATCCATTCAGTCTATGATAATCCCTTGTTTCCACGCTCCAGGAGATCATCGATGTGTTGGGGAAGACAGTATATTGTGATGAGGAGAATAATTTCAATATTACAATTTTTTCTTTTTTACTTTGTTTTAATTGAAAACATTACATTTCCTTTTTCTTATAAGGTGAAAAGTGATCCATATTGAATTAGATAAAATGTTTAAAAAGCTCACCTAAAAAAGCTCCTGGCACATAGAAGGGATTATCAAATGTTTGAAAACTTATTACAAGGTATAAGAAATGATCACTGAAAGAAAGAGTGCTCTCTATCTATGTATTCAATGATGCACAAAAAATTTCCAAGGAATGGGCGTGGCATTGGGAGAGCCGCTGTTACACATTGAGGAACCAGCACAGAAAATGGCAAACAGTGAGGAATGCAGACTAAACCACATTCCTTGCTGCTTGAGAATTCCAAGTACGCTAGAGAATAGACTTGCAGGAGGGAGCAGTGGTTGGGACAACTAGGAAGCTGCTAAGGTAGGCAGACGGCAGATGATGAAAGTCTCTTTTACAGGGCTGGGCGCGGTGGCTCATGCCTGTAATCCCAGCACTTTGGGAGGCCGAGGCGGGTGGATCACGAGGTCAAGAGATCCAGACCATCCTGGTCAACATGGTGAAACCCTGTCTCTACTAAAAATACAAAAAATTAGCTGGGCATGGTGGCGTGTGCCTGTAATCCCAGCTACTCAGGAGGCTGAGGCAGGAGAATTGCCTGAACCCAGGAGGCGGAGGTTGCAGTGAGCCGAGATCGCACCATTGCACTGCAGCCTGGGTAACAAGAGCGAAACTCCATCTCAAAAAAAAAAAAAAAAAGAAAAAAAGAAACTGAGGGCAAAACAGGACCACTCCTACCATGTCTGATAAATGGCTGCGTTCTCCGATGACTAGCAAGGGACCCATCACCCTGCCTCATAAGAGAGGTCCTTCCTCTGGCTCAGCTCACTGCCCTGGTACCGCTGCCCTGTCGTCTCTGCCCTTCATCCCTCTTAGAAGCCAGCCCTCACTTCCCAGTAGGTGGCAGCTACTTCTGCTGTCCTTTGCAGCTGCCCTCAACAGCCCTCCCTGACATTGCATATTTGGATTTGGCTCCTACACGAATGAATGAAAGTGACCTGTTATTTATCAGTGTGGATTCCTCAGACCTGCGTAGGCATAGACACAATTCCTTGGTATCAGCAGTACCGCGAGGGTCCCTGGATCCACTGACCTAAGTTTGCTGAGATGCTGAACAAAGATGTGCCTAATTTGCAGATTGTGGTGAAGTCAAATCGAGACTATGAATTTGGCCACGTTCCCTTTGCGTAACTTAGGCAGCTTGGGAGCTCAGGCATCCGAGAGCTTCTTGGGAAATAAATTGTGTTGGTGAGTGTGAGAACAAGTACTTATGCAGTATTTTCTCTGTGATAGGCATTTTGCAAGTTAGGCAATGGTAAATTAGAAGGCCAACTCTTCTTTTTTTGGAAGAATTCTAATCTGGTGAAGGAAACAAACATCTCCAAAATTATAAAAAGAAGGCAGAATATCAAAAGTGGCAGAAGAAAGTTAAAATAGCCTATTTTCTTTTTCTTTCTTTTTTCTTTTTGAGACAGAGTCTCACTCTGTTGCCCGGGATGGAGTGCAGTGGCGTGATCTTGGCTCACTACAATTTCCACCTCCCAAATTCAAGCTCTCCTCCTGCCTCAGCCTCCTGAGTAGCTGGAACTACAGGTATGTGTCACCACCTCTGGCTAATTTTTGTAGTATTTTTAGTAGAGATGGGGTTTTACCATGTTGGTCAGGGTGGTCTTGAACTCCTGACCTCAAGTGATCTGCCTGCCTCAGCCTCCCAAAGTGCTAGGATTATGGGCCAGAGCCACCACACCTGGCAAAATAGCTTTTTATCGTGTTCCTTTACCCCCAGGTGTTTACATTTCAGTGGGATTAAAGGCAGAACTGAGGCCTGGGCCCATGGATAGAGATGCCTGAGAACATTACCTCCCATTACCCCCGCTGCCTGGGCAGTGCCCTAAGTATGTGGTCCTCAAGTAGCACGCAGCACTCCTAAGCCCTCAAGGTGGGGGTATATGGGATTCATTTCAAGTTTGAGAGAATCAAGGGGTGCACTGCCGCTCCCTTGAATAGGGAGAGTCTGGAGGGTGCACACATCTGAAACTCATTCCTGCTCAGGGCTGTATCATTCTTCCTTGAGATCAAAGTCTGGCACGCACGCAAACAGCGATTATTTTGAAGCAAGCCATTCCTCACATTATCGCCTCGCATTTTGCCTCCTCCAGCAAAAAAATAAAAATGTTCTTTCCCTTAGATTTGAGTTCTTTTTCCTCTAGTTTATTCTGCTCCAAACCAGTAAACAAATTCTTCCTACAAATAGCAGGAAGAATTCGTTTTCTTTTTTTTTGCTGTGAGTGGTGACTCACAGCAAACATCCTCACAGGTGACCAAGGAAAACAGAATGTGTGTGTGTGTCATGTCCCCATGAAGGCTGCAGCCTGAGTTTCCAACTTCACTTTGGCCACAGCCCGCTTGCAGGTTCCTGGTCAGCCTGGTCCCTCTTTCAGCTTTTATTATGTTGGCCTCTCCAAATGTTTCCTGGGCCGGGTGTGGTGGCTCACGCCTGTAACCCCAGCACTTGCAGGAGGCCGAGGTGGGTGAATCATCTGAGGTCAAGGAGTTTGAGACCAGCCTGGCCAACATAGTGAAACCCTGTTTCTACTAAAAATACAAAATTCAAGTGGGCATGGTGATGCACACCTGTAGTCCCAGCTACTCGG